AATCAGCTGAAAATATCATTTTAAAAATATGGCTGGGCATAATTAATTTAAAATTCCTGTTTGTTTCTTAGTGCAAGTTAAATCAACAGATAAAGAATGGATTGTTTGAGCCATATCCAGGAGCCCATTATGGGCTTCTTCCATATCATAAAGAAGAAGTGTTCATCTTTCCTGTACTTGCAAATAAAGTACTCTTCAGAAATTGTCCTATTATGTATTACGTGTATTGCGATATGTTGTTACATGTAACACTTCATGTTTGGACCCTAGAGTCAACTTTGGTCAGAAGCTCATCACTAGGAGCCTGCAACCCCCATACTAAGCCTATGTCACAGTCTTTTTACAGACTGGACTATTTTTAGGCTTCTTTTCCCACGAAAAAGGTCAGTTCCAGTCTATATGAGCGCACATCGGTAAGGAAAAAAATGGAATGGTGGCCTCAGGTGGACATGTCAACCTAATCTTCCAGTGAAATTATAAAGTCCGTACTTGTGATTGGTCCCTGAGGTTCCTGCAAGGGTCTAAATTTGTGGTAAATCAAACTAAAAATACATGTAGATTGGTCTGTGAAAATGCCGGGACAGGAATAATTGGGGTAGTTGCACACTCCTAGTGATGGGCTCCTGCTTTAAAGGGACACAGTCAGCTGGTGCACATGTGCATTAGATACCATTTCAGAGATGCAATCCATACTGCTTTCAACCAAATATGATAAAAATAATATCATAGGATGAGCAAAAGCACACTCAGTAGACCATTGAAAATCAAGCAAAATATTGCAAAGATTGAAGTATATTTCTAGATGTACTTTGATTTCAGGTCGAGGTGAACTTTTTTCACATTGAAAAAACTAGTGTCCAGGTCAGCGCTTTCCTAAAGCTGACTGTGTCCCTTTAATGGTAGTCATTCAATAGAAAACTAGGTTTGCTTGAAGAACATATAACCAGGAGATAACCAGGAGAGATCAGTGCAGTCATCTAGTAGATTTTTTTTTTTTATTTTTTTTTTTTATTTTTATTGCAAAACACAGGGAAAAAAAACAACTTACCGTTCAACTACATCATCTAGTAGATAGAGTCATCTAGTTAATCATAAATGATAAGTAAATCATATTTAAATGCAGTTTTGAANGGGCCTGATCATGATCAAGGCATGTCCAGTTGACACAGACACTTCCCTGAAATCAGCTGAAAATATCATTTTAAAAATATGGCTGGGCATAATTAATTTAAAATTCCTGTTTGTTTCTTAGTGCAAGTTAAATCAACAGATAAAGAATGGATTGTTTGAGCCATATCCAGGAGCCCATTATGGGCTTCTTCCATATCATAAAGAAGAAGTGTTCATCTTTCCTGTACTTGCAAATAAAGTACTCTTCAGAAATTGTCCTATTATGTATTACGTGTATTGCGATATGTTGTTACATGTAACACTTCATGTTTGGACCCTAGAGTCAACTTTGGTCAGAAGCTCATCACTAGGAGCCTGCAACCCCCATACTAAGCCTATGTCACAGTCTTTTTACAGACTGGACTATTTTTAGGCTTCTTTTCCCACGAAAAAGGTCAGTTCCAGTCTATATGAGCGCACATCGGTAAGGAAAAAAATGGAATGGTGGCCTCAGGTGGACATGTCAACCTAATCTTCCAGTGAAATTATAAAGTCCGTACTTGTGATTGGTCCCTGAGGTTCCTGCAAGGGTCTAAATTTGTGGTAAATCAAACTAAAAATACATGTAGATTGGTCTGTGAAAATGCCGGGACAGGAATAATTGCGGTAGTTGCACACTCCTAGTGATGGGCTCCTGCTTTAAAGGGACACAGTCAACTGGTGCACATGCGCATTAGATACCATTTCAGAGACGCAATCCATGCTGCTTTCAACCAAATATGATAAAAATAATATCATAGAATGAGCAAAAGCACACTCAAAAACAGGTTTTTCAGTAAACCATTGAAAATCAAGCAAAACATTGTGAAGATTGAAGTATATTTCTAGATGTACTTTGATTTCAGGTCGAGGTGAACTTTTTTCACATTGAGAAAACTAGTGTCTAGGTCAGCGCTTTCCTAAAGCTGACTGTGTCCCTTTAATGGTAGTCATTCAATAGAAGACTAGGTTTGCTTGAAGAACATATAACCAGGAGATAACCAGGAGAGATCAGTGCAGTCATCTAGTAGATAGAGTCATCTAGTTAATCATAAATGATAAGTAAATCATATTTAAATGCAGTTTTGAATGATTTGTATTGAAAATCTTTACAGTATGCTAATAAATTTTATTATGCTAATTAATTATCAAAATTAATTAGCATAATTAATTGACAAGATGTCCGACCAAAATGAAGATTTGAAAGGACACATGTCCTGTTAAGGAAGAAAAATTATTTCCAGCACTGCGTTCACGGTATCGCCGGCCGCTGATTGATCGTGCCGCGAAGACAAACTTACACAAAAATATCTGTCCATCAAAGAAAAGTCCTCACTTAAGTTTGGTCTTCAGTGAAGGGATTACAAGTCAAGACTTGTATTTTCTAAGTTTCAAATATAATGATTTGTCTGTTGTGTTGTTTTCATTGTGAGTCAAAATTTTTTTTCTGTAATGGCAGACGAACTTATTGTGACAGGTGTTGTGTGACACTTGTTTATTAAGCAAGAACACCTACCATTCTTGCTTATTAATCGAAAGTCATATGTTTAATAAGCATAAAGTATTACCTTTTGTGCTTAATAAGCAACCTTCTTGCTTAGTAAGCAAAAAATGATGACTTTTTAGTTTAATAATCAAACTTGACATGTCAAAATTGCTTATTAACCAAAAAAGACAGGCAATTTCTTTAATAAACCTGAAAAAATGGTGTCCACAAACAATCTGACTCTTGTTTAGATGTATTATTTAGAGGTATCCATGGTTCACAAATGATTAGGTGGTAGGTAATAGTATTATTCTTAACCCTGTGTTAGACAATAGTCAAACAGTGTTTAGATTTTGGTCTTCAGGATTTATGTTGTTGTGCCTGTGCTAACTTTTGCAGATGTGAATTACTTGCTGGATGTGTTGACACAGAAGAAACAAAAGCTGGAAGCTGTAAGTGTTGTAATGTTTTGTTGTTAATGGTAGATCTGCAGTGGTGGAGTGAATTTAATATGCACATCAACCTTTGCAAAATAATGCAAGACTTCCAAATTGGTCAGTGACACAATCATGATAAATTAAATTGTGCAGTTCCAGAAAATATCTGTACTACCCCCACAGAGGGGATTGGAATTTCCTGGGGGGTGGGGGGTTCTGGATGACCATAAAATTTAAAGAAATGTATGAAGCTTAGCTGGAATTTCCAGAGGGGTCGGGCAGGGTGTTAGAAAAAATCCCTTCCATGGGGGAGGTATGGATATTTTCTGGAACTACATATTCATCATTCTGATTGGGTCTCTATTTGAGTGACATTTGCATCTCACTAGTCAATATTACATGTTCATATAACAATATATGTATCAATTGAACTTGCATTGTTTGTACATTAAGGTCTTCATAATCTAAAATTGCTGACTACTGTATACATGTACTATCTACTGACTGTATATATTAATTTTGCGAATAGGACAGCCAAGCTGTGCAACATGAATTGTTGAAAGATTTTCTCTCACAAGTAAAGAGGCATAAACAAGAGGTATGGTATTGAAATGTATACAGTACAAGGGAGCCGGAGAATGGATTCATTTTTTAATTGATAGTCATATTTGTGGTCTTGAAATGCATAATGTCTTTCGAACAAGACAGTAAATTCAGATTAATTCAATATTAAGTATTTGTTCTGTTTATTCTTCTTACTTTCAGCAACTTGATCAGCTTACACGAGAAGTGAAACTCATTGATGAAGACATGAAGAGAGTTGTGGTAAGTGACA